AAGATCAGATTAGGAAAGAAATGGATACGATTATGTATTCAATATATTGAACGTAGTTGGCATGTACCAAGTTATTTGTATTGAATATGCTCTGAAAGGCTTTGTAAATCCAAATGTTTTTAATTAATGCAAGTTAATCAGTTTTATTTAAATGAGAAATTGAAATCTTTTAATTATTTTATGAAAAAGAAATAGATTAAAAAGTCAATGTGACACTTCAGACTCGTATTCGGGTCAGATACGGGTTGGGGTGTTACAAGTTGTTTGTTTCCAAGTAGTTTGTCGAGCATGTTCGTGTAGAGAATATGGCTTCAGAGACCATCTTAAGAGAAGGGTTAAAGCAGGGGCTTGCCTGTGAGGAACAATCCTTCAAAGACTAGTGGACAAGAGTCGAAGGGAGCCAAGACGTTGAGGGACAAAGCAACCACGGAGAAACTGCCCAATAACAAGTGGGTTTACAGGGCGATGACTACAGACAAACTAAAGTTGTGTTCAACTTCAGTTGGCATGCTAGAATAACAAGACCATAAATGCTGTTGCATTGATCAAGGTGTGAAGACAGATTAAAATCAGTCTTCAAGTGAGAGATTATTGAAAATTCAATGCATGGGCGTGGAAATTCAAACATGGGCGGCTGAAAATGAATCAACATGGGCGGCTAAAATTGGTCCAAATTAGGGAGCCATTTTAGTTGAAAATTGTGAAGGGATAATTGCAAAAATTAGTCCTTGGACTTTAGGGTATTTATAAGATTAGTTCTTAAGTTTCAACTATAAATATCCTAACTCATTTAGCTTCAAAATCATCCCCAAAATCATTCTAGCTCTCTCTAAAGTGTTTTTGTAAACACCTGTAATTTTTCTCCTTTTCGTAAAAGATCTGCAGCAGTCCGGAGACGTAGACATAATTGGCTGAACTCCGTTATCAATTTCGGGTATTATTTTTCCACTTTTATTTCGCATTCTCACTAATATGGTTGTAGGGAAATTACTTGTTTTATTTCCCAACAACTACAACTTGAAAGGCAAGCTCTGCACCCTTAACCATAACAAAGTTCATAACTAAAAACAGCCAAACAGTGGTGGCATAAATCGTCATGTTTATTATTCTCAAAATTATTATCCAAAAACACTAACCGCAAAAGGCATTTTGACATCTTTCAAAGGCTAAACCATTAATGACGACAACATCACAAGAATCACAATTCACAACTTGTGTATTCAGAACTTATGTTTTCTTGATGTCATGTTTTATATCTCACCGGAAGCCTCCAAACAGACGAGCGTTTGAACTCAGTTGATCACCTGCATATCAACGATAGAATTTCAACCATCGGCAAAACTTCTGACGATTAGACCTGCTGAGACATTATTTGCAATATATTTGACTAATACACCATTCTCAAACAGTGAAGTAGATTGTCTTTCTTGAAAGTTGAAACATTATATATTAGACAAACGGTAGTAAACACTAAACATATTGCAATTATCAAAATTATGTCAAATACGGCTCTCAGATCTTAATCGCAAAATAAAATGATGAAAATGAGAGCAAAATAAATTATATTAATTAAACTGATATATTAATAAAAACAAACAAGTTTCTGTTAAATATTTATCTTATACAATAAACTATATTACACGTTAATAAAACAACGGAAGGTAATTAAGTCATTTATTTTACATATCATTTATTTATTTTAATTTTTAATTGATTTATAGTTTGATTTTGATTCTTATGTTTATTTATGTGTTATTCTTTAATATACATTGTTGGTAAAAACAAATTCACTAAAAGGTGTTAAGATGATATCAAATGTCTTTTTTTTTATAATACGATTATAAGGTAGTTATTATTTAAAATTTTCTTAATTAATCGATAACAAAGTGCATATACCTTGCAGACACAACTATTCAAAGTTAGGACCTAACTTCATCTAATTTTTGCGTTGATCTGCCTCAAAAATTAACTTAATGCATGCCTTATTCAGAAGCTCACTACTTATCAAATTTCTACACAAGGTAGGTACACACAAAATATTATTCAGGGCCAGAGTTTTACCGGAAGCTAGTTTGAGTAAGACCTTGCCTTTGCCTAGCATTTCAGAGTTGCTAGAGTTCCCCATGTACACACGTTCACCTTCGTTTCCATCCTCTAACTCGGTGAAAAAATCTTTCCTTACACAGAAGTGTTTTGCAGCGTCAGTGTCAACCACCCATTCAGAATTGTTCTCCACCAGATTAACTTCTGAAATCACTGCAGCAAAGATGTCATCATCTTTTTCACAACATGCATCTGTGGCTTGTTGTCATTCTGACGGTCTGAGCAGGGTTGGCATTGATAAGCTTTGTGACCCACTAGACAGTAGACATAGCACTTGAGTGTCTTCCCTTTATCTTTGGCCTTCCCATATTTCTTGAAATTGGCAGCCTTATGAGGTTTTGTCTTTTTGTCCTGATTCCCTCATTTCATAATCTATTTTAGTTTGGTTCAACCAAGTTAGTTTTAAAAGATAAGTTACTAAGGGAATTAGCAACCTTATCTTTTAAGCAGTTGACCTCCTCAATTTTCATATGGCCCACCAGCTCCTCAAGTGAAATATCTCACTTTTTATGCTTGAGAGAGTTGCAGTAGTCAAACCAAGACTTGGGCAGCTTTTCAATGAGGACATTGGTTTAAAGCACCTCACACATTTGCATTCCTTCGGCGATGATGTTGACGACCAAGTTCTCGTAGTCATGGACTTGATCCATTATCGGCTTGTCGCCCGTCATCTGGAATTTAAGTCATTCGCCGATGACGTACTTCTTGATGCCCGCATCGTTAGCACCATACTTCTTCTCCAGAGTGTCCCATATCACCTTGGCACTTCTTTCTCTAAGAAACATGTCAAACAATTTGTTAGACATGTGGCTGAATAGGTGTCCTCGAATCGTCTTATTATCCTTCTCATTTTTTTCGTTGGTAGCAACAGCAGGAATAGCAATGGCTAGGGCGACATCAATTAGAACCGCATCACCATCTCTGGCAATTGGAGCGGTCGACGATATAGTGGGTGATGGCTTGAGCAACACGTAGTCCAGGTCAAGTTGCTCGAAAAATATAAGAATTCGCTAGGACCACCTCCGATAATTCTTTCCATCAAGTGCATCGAGCTTGGAAAGATAGGGAATCAACTTGCTGAAAGGTGATGTCATATTTATAGTCTGTGAATTCGTTTCTAAATTGTTGAAAATATTGACTGTAAAATCACACCGTTAGCAATTGGAGTGGACTGCTGATGGTATTGCTCTTCTGATCAAAAGTGGACTGATTTAACTCTTGAAATTAAATCATGTAACTCTTGAAATAAACAACTTGTCTCTCCTTTGAATAAAGCTGCAAATCAGTCCAGATACACATTTTAACGTACTAATTGAATTTAGATTTTTTCATTTGTTCTACAAGAGAGAGATTCCTCATTTATTTTCTCGTGAGCGGACGTCTCGAAGTTACGTATTATAACGAGCCAAGCCGAACGGTGGCGGTGCGCGAGAGTCCCCTTATTATGCTCGATCTTTCTGTAGGAAATCAGGTTTCCCATAACCAAAGACGTAAAGCATTTGATTTCTCTTACGAAATAAGTTTCAGCTACATATATGAACTGTGACCTCCCAAATTCAAACAAGAACGACTGACCAGCGGGATTCAAATTCCAGAATCAGTTTTAATAAGTTGGATAATTCATTGTGATAAATGAAGAAGGAATCAGGCTATATATAACAGATACCGCATTGTTTAGACCATTGCGTAAAATACGGGAAGATATTCATTAAACGATGATGAGAGGGAAGCATGTTTGGGGACTGAGGTGTAGTATCCGCTTCATTTGAGGAACGTTGCCCAAAAGGAAAGCGGGTAAGGGACCTTCGATCCCTTGCCTTCCGAGAATCAGTCGATGCTTGTTTCCGTCGAGCCAGAGAACGTGAACGAGATAGACAATGAAGCTGCAAAAACCAAAGGCAGAGAAGATCATGGCAGCAATAATGAAGGAATCCATCGGGGATGATTGAATTGCCTTACTATCAATGCATGCAACGTATTTATATGCATGGCGATGGGGAGGTTTACGCTCCGACTACATTCAGATTGTGCATTCCATTTTTAATGAATTTTCTCGTAATATATTCATATTGTATATTAATTCATCAAATTGCTAGCTTAGTTAATTTTAGTAACTATTCAATTTTTATATTCATTTTTTTCTTAAAAAATCAACCAATACATTCTAATAAATCATTACAAATGTTCTAAGATCAATATAAATATTATATTCAAAATTTTAATATAAACCTATCATGATGACGGGTGAACTATCAAACATTAAAGTGTATAGTGAACTATCAAACATTAAAATCATGATGACGGGTGACATGAGTGGAAAATGGAGCAGTTTAGATTTATTGGACAGTTAGTGGAACAATAAAACTGGGCCAATATGACTAACAATATTATTATTTTACAGCAGTCATTTTTTCTAACAGAAAATGCTCCATTCGAATTGCAAGATAATGAGCACAAATAAACAACACAACCCCACCATCATAAGTGTCAACGAATTCAGCATCAAATAGCAATCACATGAGCTTCTCTTCATGATGCAGCACGCCAATTTACATTTAGACACTTGCACGTGATAATTGATAAATATTCAAAACTTGCAGTTAGCGTGTCATCCCTAGTTGAAGAAGCAGTAGAAGAAGGAAAGTTTGCATCTTAGTTAGAGTCGTGGGGAACTGGAAAGAAATGGATAAAATGGCTGGTTATTATTTATTTTCTTTTACTATTACAGGTGAAGTTTGTAAATTATTTGATTTTATTTGTTTATTTTTTTTTCGTTGTCCTTTCTCCCAATTTGATGCTTTGAGCCTCACCATGCTCTTGCTTCTTACAGATTGATTCAAAAGCATGAAAACATCGAAACGGTAGTACCCTGAATCATGATATTTTTGCTACTGTTTCCCCCCCCCCCAACTTTCAGTTAATTTAGTGTTTTGATGTTGTATTGGTCATAAGTTTTAGAGTTTGCAGACCAACTGTTTGATGAAATGAGTTCCTGATGAAAATCTGATTTACGGCTCAGTCGTTGACTCCTTATTTGTCAGCTCTCGCCCACCGTACACCGGATTGAATAGCATAAAGTAATGCAGAGTATAAACGGGAAAGTTCGTGTTTTCCATAAAAGCCCATTGGCTAGATCACTCTGGGCTCGCAATTCTTGCTCCAAATTATTCGTTGGAGGTCTCAAAATTTTCTTACTCTTGTTTTTCCTCTTTATCCAAGTTGAAGGGAATCCTCTGTTTACTACTTGCTTCAAACTTTACCGTTATATAATTGCTTTGAGAAAAGTTTTACTGATTGTAGGGCTTTCATATGATACCAACGAGACTGTTTTGAAGAATGCTTTTGAAAAACATGGTGAAATTATTGAAGGTAATTTTCTTGCATACTTTTTTTTTGTTAATTTTGTCGTGCTGTTGTGCTTTATGAGGTTAAAGAACATGTTGGGATTTTAGCAGTTCGAGTTATTGCTCATCACGTGAGTGGAAAATCGAGAGGGTATGGGTTTGTGCGTTTCACTTCTGAAGCTTCAGCCATTGCTGCTCTTAAAGATATGCATTCCCAGGTATGTTTTAAGTAATTAATTCAATCGCTCCATTATAAGTATTAACCCGCATATGTTTCTATTGTAATAATAAATGAGCGATTGGGCTGAGATTTGATGTTGCATATAATGGTTGTTTTTAGGAATTGGATGGTAGAAATATTCGAGTTGAATTCGCACGCAAGGGATGATTGATTGATTGATTGATATTTATCATTAGAGAGGTTTGATTTCTTCCATGTTGGTAGTTATTGATTTTCATTCAATCAATGTTGGAAAAGTGACAAAATTAATACTAATAAATCCCATGGTATTTCAAAGTTAAAATATGTAAATTATGCATATTATGAATGCTGCTTTGGCCGGTTATAAATAGTGTCATGTGCTTTGACAACCAATTTTCACATCGGTTGCTTCTTAAACATTTTATGGATAAATACATTTCCTTTGTTTACTGAAGGCAGAATGTATTGTTTGACTTTAGTTACTTGTCAACCTTCTATGTATCTGCATAGAGCCAATGTGATTGTGTTTGTTGTTTGAGGACAACCTACATTTTGGCAGAGTTTATGTACCTACATTGTGATGATTGCAAATCACGACTAAGTAGATTACAATCACGATCTTGAATATTATACCAAATAGTAATATTTTCATTTCCAGGAGTAATACTTTGACAGTCATTTTTCCATCTATATAACTGATCCGAGTTACAAGTCGTGCATATGGTGTACTGGTGTTTCATGTTATCGTAATAAAATATTGTGATTCATTAGGAACAAGAAGTTTAGTGTCAACTAGAAGCGGGTTTACCTCATTTCAACTTAAGTATGTTTCTCTCATGAAAAATTCAAGAGCCAATCACAGCTATAATGGCTGTCTCACATTTATTAACCTTTGTCTCCTCGGGTGAATGTTTTTACAAACATGACAGAATGGGGAAAGGAAGAGGAATAAGACCTTTTAAAGAGATTACATATTTAATTTTTGAAGTTATTTTTGTTTTCGACAAATTCTAAATCTAATCTTAATCCTACTTAGAGGAGGAGGAGACTCTAAGGGAATGGAAGGAAATGAGATGCTCTTAGTGGGTCTGGAACTCATGACCTAAAAGAATATAAAGGAATAAAAATATGATAAAATTATATTTTAATGATGTCTACTTGCATTGGCATTACTTTCAAACACTAACTCGACAATATAATGTTTCAAGCACTTGCTAGACGACATAATGTAAACAAAGACTTGATACATAAAATACTAAAATAATTTTGAGATCATATTTTATGATATTTCAGTCAACAGGTTACCATTTATCTTAAATATCCATTATTTTTTTAATTAAAAAGGATGATTTTGGAACCTATAAATAGTCTAGTAACTATCTTACAAATTTTAATAGTCGGAAATTCAACAAACTAATATCTTATAGTTTGGACACCATTTGTCTACTTTACCCTATTTTTTTTAAGTTTTCAAACATCTGTCATGCCATTTGTTCCAAATCAAAAGAAATTTCCTCTAAATCTTACATCCTATTCAATTGATTAAAAAAATTAAAGTTTGTACGATATAAACAGACCCATTTAATAGATGTTTTATGTACGACAACCTTAATATACAGTTAAGAAACTACCGGAAATATTATTATTATTTTTAATATTTCCGGTAAAGCGCTACCTAAAACATTATTTTTTACCGAAAATGTTAATATTGGGCACTACCTAAAATGTTTAACATTTCCGGTAAAACACTATCTAAAACATTATTTTTTCTATCGGAAATTGGTTAGCGAAAATAACATTTTCGATAAAAAAATAATGTTTTAAGTAACTCTTTACCAGAAATATTAAAAAATAATAATGTTTTGAGTGTTTTGAATTACCGTTAAAAAGTGCTTTTAAGTAGATAAATAACTATTTTAAATATTGCAAACGAATAGAACCTACATGACATCAGGGTAAAAATATAAATATACTTTAAAACACAATTTAAAAATGAAAAAGTTAGATTTTCCAATTTACAGTTGGTTTAAAACTACCGTTTTAAACGCATTTATCATTTTAATTTTTAGGCGTTTGGTATAGTTTCTACTTTCAAAACACAATTTTTAGCTTAAAGTGCTTCTCAGCAGCAATGTCAAACTAGCCCTTATTCGGTCAATGAAAGTAGTGTTTAGCTTATTTGATAGTTTTGTTGTGCAGCAAAAAACTTAAGGTTAATTTGCGATTGATTTTAATCTATACTATCATTATTTTTTAATTTGAAAAAAATTACACAATTGGTTACAATTTTTGTTACAAGCAATAATGTTATATTGCAATGAATTTTAACCTAAAATGTTATCATGTCTACTCTAAATAGATACTTGATAATAATTATAATGACAATTGAGTATGTTACATGAATTTATTAACGGTAACTTTTTAATTACAACCAAAATAATTATATGATTTACTTAATTTATTATATAGAACTTAATGATTTTGTTTTTAACCTAAAATATTACTCAATTTATTCTAAAGAGTTATTTATTTAATAAATTTTCCGATTTCAATATATTGCAATCCTTTTTAAACTTGGTTTAATACAAAAATAAGTGTTCAAACTATATTTAAAATTAACTTTAGGTGCGTAAAGATTTTTTCGTTAAAAATAACTGTCTAATGTTTTCAATGTTATACTTTTAAGTGTCTGGCTGTAAAGGTCGACTATTATCTTACATGTGTTGCACTTATATAAGTTTTAGAAATTTTATTTTATTAAATAAATAAAAATATTATTTATAAAAACAATTATTTTTTAACCTTGTGTTAACGTCCCCGCCATCCCCTTCCAGACGGCGCAATCCCCTACCTCTTTCTTCTCCTTTGTCCACTGTTCAATAACGATTTAACAGGCCTCGTGTGAATGACAATCCTGGTGTTAACAATGATTGAATTTACAACGCAGTATGAAAGCACAAACGCTACCCGCCGTCGAAAATTTTAAAATCAGGATTTTGGGATTTAAGGTAATAGCAAGGATGATGATTGATTAATGATTGAGCACCGACAAATAGGTGATATTTCGATAACGGATATGATGACAGACGATGATTGAAAATGAGTTTGAAATCAAGATTTTAAGAGTTGAGATTTTTTTTGTGATTTTAAAGAAAGTTGAGTTTTTTTTCAAATAAATTTAATTTTAATTTTTTTGTTTTAAAATAAAATTTTTATAAGTCTGAGGTCACTTAATAGTTAAATTTAACGGTAAATACTACAAGTGTAATGTTAAAAACATTAGGCACCTATTTTTCTATTTTTAATAAAAAAAATTCTTTAAACACATAAAATTAACTTTGTTTATAATTTGAACACTTATTTTAACATTAAACCTTTTAACTTTATATTAATAGGTTGTATTTTAAATGGAGAAATGACTGAGATAATGTAAGTAGGATTTTTTAATTTCTAATATAGTCCACACCGAGGATTATTTCCCCATCTAGGGTGAATTGAACAATATCATTCTAAATACGTCAAGTGCTCAACGCGTCTTCAAGCTAAATATGAAGACTCTATGACTACATGACATCTTCAGGTAAATGAAGAAAACCACTACTATATGGCGTCTTTAGGTAAATTAAGAAGAACCCAAGAGTGCACAGCCTCTTCAGACTAATAAGAAGTTTTAGCTCAAGAAATAATATGATGGATACATTATATGGGAAAATTATTTTTCCCACAACCTATATGGGCGAGCAAGGCATTTTAAACTCCCCTAATTTATTGGGCTATTGTATCACGGTCTTGTCAGTCCAGCCCTAAAGACATGGTTACTCTTCGCGATGCCCCTTATAAACTATGGCAAAACCTTGGCTCCTCTTCGTTTGCATCCTCACCCAGGACATGGACACGACCGCTATTTTTTGCTTTCCAGTAAGCAATCAACTTTCTAAACTTCATCATTGTTTTTAATTCCATTTTTTCATTTCATCCAATGAAATCAGATAGTCACTTTTCTGGATTTAAATTATCATAATTGATTGTTTGAAATATTCAATAAAAAATTGGGCTTTGGTTGGAAAGGTATAATCTCTGACAGAGATAACCGTGGGGGAATTTGTGTTTGATAGAAGAGAATGCATTTAACTTACAAGAATATCTACTACATGTAGTTAAACTGTAAGTGAATTGAGTTTGAACGAACATATTTTTATTCATGTTTGTTTGTTTTAAATTAAATACGCTTGTATTCATTTATTTAATATTCACGATTTTCTTAACATTAAAGTGGTCATGTTTGCAAACAATGTAAAAATATGTTCATTGTGATTTAAAAAAAACGAATAACAAACAAATAAACAATCTTGTTTTTTTAGATATAAAATAAGCGTAAACTACATGGATAACCACTCAACTATGACTAAAAATCATTTTAATCATCGATTAATTTGATCAACCAGACCATCTAACTATTTAAATAATTTAATTAAGTCACATGTTGTTAACATTTAACGGACTAGGCGACGTGACAGTTAAAAATATTTTTGTATAATTATACAATTGGTTCCTGTTATTTATATATTCTTTCAATTTGGTTCCAATTTAATAAATTAAAATAAATTTAACCCACAAATATGGAGATGCCATGTGTTATCATACGATTGGAAGACTAAATTTATTTTAATTTAATAGATTTATTTTCACCAATTAGATGATGACACATGTCACTCTTTGGTTGAAAGAAAATAAACTCAAGCATAGGAACCAAACCATTGAGCCAAGGCAACCATTTATTATATATTGTACAACAAATAATGCATATCTTGTATTGTAAATTCTTTACTCAAAATTAATAATATTTTATATATATTTTTATTAAAGTTTTACGTTTAATCTGTGGTAAAGATGAAATTGCTGATACTTCTCAATTGCCATTGCAGTTTACATCGGAGAGTTTGAGTATGTTGATGATCACAGAGCTGGCAAAATTGTGGTTGAACTGAACGGGAGGCTGAACAAGTGGGGTGATTAGTCCTCGATTTGATATCGGAGTCAAAGAGATTGAGGGTTGGACTGCCAGATTGCTTCCTTCAAGACAGGTTAAATTAGAAACTTTGTAATCATTATTCACTGCATATTGTATGAATTACAAAATCATTATCGTGCATGTCTCGGATTCTTCACATAGAGACCCCTAGATGAGATTCGGATATATTGTACTCACCACATCTGCTGGCATCATGGACCATGAAGAAGCAAGAAGAAAGAATGTGGGTGGGAAAGTACTTGGTTTCTTCTATTGAGAGTTGAGACAGTTTCTGAGATTCTCATTTTTTTTTGGGTTTCACACAAAGCATGACTTAGTACTTGTTCTCTCTATAATTCTAATTTTATTATACTCATGTTTTGCTTATGACTTTTGAGATTATGAAATGTCTGCAATGGGCTACCCAGCTTTTACTGTGGGCTAGAATCGGTGTACCA